AAGTCACAGTGCTGCTTCTTTGTCCCTGGCAGGTGTGTGAAGCTCACAGTGCTGCTTCCTGTACCTGGCAGGTGTGTGAAGTCACAGTGCTGTTCATTTACCTGGCAGGTGGGAAGCTTTTTGGTCTTCATGTCCCGGGCCCAGGTGTTTTAAAAAGTCTCAGTTCGCTTCATGTACTTGCAGGTGTTGTGAAAAGCTCACTGTTGCTTATGTCCCTTGAGGTGTGTGAACCCACAGTTCGCTTCATGTACCTTCGGGTGTGGATCTCACATTTCAGCTTCATTCCCTTGAGGTGTGTAAAGTCACATTTCAGCTTCATTTTACCTGGCGGGTTGTGAAGTCAAGTGTGCTTCATGTCCCTTTGGGGTGTGAAGCTCACAGTTCGCTTCGTCCTGCAGGTGTGTGAAGCTCCAGTGCTGTTCTGTCCCTGGCAGGTGTGTGAAGCTACAGGTGTTTTAGTACTGGGGGGTTGGGTGTAGCTCCAGTGCTGTTCAGCACTGGCGGTGTGGAAGCTCACAGTTCAGGTTCTGTACCTGGAGGTGTGTGAAGCTCACGTGTGTTTAAATGTCCCTGGAGGTGTGTGAGCTAAGTTCAGTTTCATGTCCCTGCAGGTGTGTGAAAGCTCACAGTGCTGCTTCATGTCCCGGCAGGTGCGTGAAGCTCACAGTTCTGCTTCTGTCCCTGGAGGGTGTGAAGTCACAGGCTGCTTCATGTACCGGGGCAGGTGTGTGAACCCCCCCCAGTTCTGCTTATGTACAGGGCGGTGTGTGAAGCTCACAGTATGTTCATGTCCCTTGCAGGTGGTGAAGCTCACAGTTCTGCTTCATGTACTGGCAGGTGTTGTGAAGCTCACAGTGCGGCTTTTTTGTTTTGGCAGGTGTGTGAAGCTCACAGTGCGCTTCATGTACATTGCAGGTGTTAAAAGCTCACAGTGCTGTTTTCGTACCGGAGGTGGTGAAGTCACGGGTTTGCTTATGCCCTGGCAGGTGTGTGAAGTCACAGTGTGTTTTATGTACCGGGGCAGGTGTGTGAAGTCACAGTGCTGCTTCATGTACCTGGGGGTTGTGAAGTACAGTTTTTTTTCATTTACCTGGGAGGTGTGTAAAGCTCACGTTCAGTTTCTTACCTGGTAGGTGTGTGAAGCTCACATTTTTGCTTCTGTACCTGGCGGTGTGTAAAAGCTCACAGTGCGGGGCTTCGTCCCTGGCAGGTTTTTGTGAAGTCACAGTTCAGTTCATTTCCCTGGCAGGGGGTGAAGCTCACAGTTCAGCTTCATGTCCTTGCAGGTGTGTGAAGCCACATCTTCTTCATGTACATGGAGGTTGTGTGAAGTCACGTGATGCTTCTTTTGGCAGGTGTGTGAAGTCACAGTGCTGTTCAGTACCGGCAGGTGTGTGAAGTACGTTCAGCTTATGTACCTGGCGGTGTGTGAAGCTCACAGTTCGCTTCATGTCCCTGGCAGGTTTTGTAAAAGCCACAGTGCTGCTTCATTTTTCCCGGCAGGTGTGTGAAGCTACAGTGCTGCTTCATGTACGGGGCAGTGGGGAAAAGCTCACAGTTGGTTCTGTACCTGGAGGTGGGGAAAAGTCACAGTGCTGTTTATGTCGGCAGGTGTGTAAAAGCTCACAGTGCTATTCTTTTTACCTGGGGGGGTGTGTAAAAGTCACAGTTTGTTTTCAGTACTGGAGGTGTGTGAAGCCACGTGTGCTTCTGTACCTGGAGGTGTTGAAGCTCCCCAGTTCTGTTTTCTTGCCTTGGGCAGGGTGGTAAAAGCTCACAGTTTCTGTTTCATGTCCGGCGGGGTGTGTGAAGCTACGGCTGCTTCATGTCCCTTGCAGGTGTGTGAAGCTCACAGTTCAGCTTCATGTACCTGGCAGGTTGTGAAGCTCCCAGTTCTGCTTATGTACCTGGCGGTGGTGAAGCTAAAGCTCGGTTTCATTTTCCTTGCAGGTGTGTGAAGCTCCAGTTCTGCTTATGTACCTTGAGGGGGTTTTGAAGCTCCCATTTTGTTCAGGGCATGGAGGTGTGTGAAGCTCAAGGCTGTTCATGTTAGCTGGCAGGTGTGGAAGCTCCAGTGCTGCTTCATGTACCTTGCAGGTGTGTAAAAGCTCACAGTGATGCTTCATGTCCCTGGGGGTTTGTGTGAGCCCACAGTTTTTTTTCAGTCCTGGCGGTTGTGAAGCTCACAGTGCGCTTCATGTACCTGGCAGGTGGGAAGCTCACAGTTCTGTTCAGTCCCTGGCGGTGTGTGAAGTCACAGTGCTGCTTCATGTACCTGGCAGGTGTGTGAAGCTAAACAGTGCTGCTTCATGTACGGGGAGGTGTGTGAAGTCACATGTGTTCTTACAGCTACCAACTCACTGAAACTTAATTGGAGTTCTAGACGAGTGGTCTTTTGGGGCTTAAAAAATAGATCTACTGTTAAAGCCCCGGGGGGCGGGGGGAAGGAGCCGTTGGTTACAGTTGATGCCTTGATGGAATTAATACGTATTACAGTATTGTGAATCCTTCCTAGTAGAGGTATGTTAGCCTAGAGGGATCGAAGTTCGTGTCTCGCACCTTCTGTATATTCATTGGGGGTGTGGTTCTTCATTCCAGTAAGAAAAGAAGTGGAAAGGTGGGGGGGAGTTTGAGGATTGTCCCTCAGTGGAATCTTGATCGGTAATTCTTCTAGACTTCCTAACCTATTTCACTATCTTGATGGATGATCACATTGCCCCTTTTTTGAGAGATTGATTCCCTCCACCCCTTCCCTATCATAAAACCATTTTTTCTGTAGGGGGGGGGCTGGGGAAAAAAACCACTGGTTGGGAAACTTTTCCAGAAAAGATATCCAAGTTTGCACAAGAATCTAATTGATTATCCTGTCGATTTTCTCAACCATTCATCCACAAGAATATCATAACTAACTTAGCTAAACATAATAATAGAAATAACATTTGCTGTGTTACACAAATAACCCGCACATAGGAGATTTAAACTTATGACGATGTTTCACTCGCCGTGGCCATCCTTCATATTTATCAATAAACTTTGTTTACTCACATACAAAACTGACTTTCTTCTCTCTCAAACTCTCTACTCCTGCGAAATCTCCTAGTTTTTTTGCTTCCCTAAATTCTAGTCTCCTAAATCTTAACAACACCTTTTGTCCTATAAACATCAAACATACTTTCCGCCAAACTAACAACCTTCGTAGTAATTTAGTCCGTACATCTCCTCCTGCTATTGGTTTTTCCAGACTCTACTTCATTTCCTGTCCTCTTATCCTTTTCAGTATTTTGGATAAACTGGCCGCTCTCTTTCTGACAGTACAAAAGTAGTGTTAGACTTGCCGACACCAACAATGCTCTTTTCTCTCATGTTGGAGATCACAGCCGTCCTACTGACTGGTCCACTGCCAAAACTGTTTACCCTTCTAGCCTTAACAGCATCCCTTATACACAATAATCTTAACTGATGCTTATCTCATCTCCTTACCTCTTCACGTTTCCTATATTTTCATTACCTTTCGTGCCTTCAGCCTTGGTAGATTCTGTCATATAGGGTTTTGTCTCGCAGGAGATTTTACCCAGCCCTCCTCGTCCCCCTCTCAGATAAGGAGAGAGCGGGGACGAGTGGATAGGCGAAGAACATTGCCGGAGAGGAGTGTCTAAAGTCGTAAAAACAAAGCCAGATCTTAATCCAGCAGCAGAGACCTTAATGGTGAAGATGAGAACCGCAAATGTAGTTCATTTACTGTGAAAATTGAAATAACCAGTTCTTGAATTTTCTAAACGCATCACTCGGTAGGTATATGAAGTCATCAACGAATTATTTGACAAAATCTTGGGGATGTCTTCGTGTGAACTTGTATGGGGACAACAGAGTCGTATTTGACAGTTCCATCGCAGAGTTGAGGATGGAGTTCTGGGGCGAACATTGTGTTCTTGTTCACAGGTATAGTGAAGACTCGAAGATGGTTGCTTGGGTAGCAGGTGGGTCAGGGGTGGCTTGTTCAGTAGGTGGGTCAGGGGTGGGCTGAACAATAGGTGGGATAGGGGTGGACTGGACAGGAGGTGGGTCAGGGGTGGACTAGGCAGCAGGTGAATCCACTAGTTTTACTACTACTACTAGTACTAGTAGCAGTATTTTTTATCTAACAATCCACTCTCTGCTCCTTTTTTCACTATCACTACTACTGCTTTCTTATTTCCACCTCTACTGCTGTTGCACTACTACTGCTGCTGCTACTGCTACTCCCTCCTCCCCCCCCTCTCATTCGTGAGTCAAGCTATTTCTTGACAGATATTCAGTGCTCTTTTCAAGATTGATGGACTGATTACATCGACTCAAGACTGAGGGACTGATTACCTCAAACTCCTCCTGTTCTTCCTCGTTCTCCTTTATATGGACTGATGAAGCCACTGTGTGGCGAAACGTTTCCTCAATAAAGATACCCAAGTGTTGGACATGTGTATAATTTATCAACGTGTCGGTTGTCTGAACCAGTCATCTACATTTGTTTATTGTTCACTTCACGGTATTGGACTTTTTATTAATTTATTTTATTATTTTAAATTAAAATTTTCTCATTCTTTTGAAATTCTAAACATTTTCCTCCGAACAATCATTTTTCTTCTCAACATTAGGTAAGCCACTCTGTCATGCTTCTCTGGTTACTTGTAGTTAAATCTGTGGGTCACTGCCTCTGCAGCCGTCCCATAACAGGCTCTCTGGTCCCTGCCCTGATCGATCAGGCTGTTAATACCCGCCACCCGCAGTCCATCTAATATACACCACAGTCCGGTTGTTGGTGACTCCGCTGATGCATGAAGGGGCGTTGCTGATGTTTTATTTAGCACATCACATCACATCAAAAGATGTATTGGGAACGTCTCTTCGTCAGAAAATTAAGCATTGTAGGGGAGATTTTTCTGAAAATTCGCCTCGAAATATCATCTAGTAAACTAGTATCCATTAACTAGAATCTCACTTTGAAGTGCATCTTTCTCACACAGAACGTTGGACGAGAGGTACCTAGCAGCTCAGAAGATGTTGAAACTGGAACCTGTCAAGTGCCCTGTCATGCTGGACCGCCTGGATGATGAGGCTAATAAGGCCTACGGTGCCCTCCCTGAGCGTCTCTATATCATCCTGGACGGTGTTATTGTCTACATGGGGCAGCAGGGACCAGTAGGTTATAAGGTAACTCTACAAGTGACCACGTAAGTTTTGGTTCATAAGAGCCTGGATGTCTAGCTAGGTGTCGCCGGAAGGGAGACACTTCTAGTGGCTGTCAGATTTAGTTTTGACTCAGGAAATCGTAATAACACTAGTGAAAATAAATCACAAAATGAATGGGTCTTGAACACATGGTTAGTGAGTCCTTAGAACTCACGGGCCAAAGCGCTAACCACAGTGGTTGGCGCTCTGGCCTGGGAGTTCTAGGTCTCTCCTGTTGTGGGTTTGATCCCCATTCATCCTGTGATTACGTTTAGTTTTTCTTTCTCAATGAAAGGTCTCCATGGAAAAACTTGATCACGCTTCCTCTGGTTCACTTCAGACGTTCACCGTTGGTGTCTCTTATAGGAAGGTTGTGATTAGTCTCTGCCTCTACCGTCGTTTGTTTGCTATCGCGTCATTCTATTTTGTGAGTCATGAGGACGGTTTTGAGGGGACTTGAGCTAGAGTTCGCCACAGCCACGCTGGCGGGAGATTCATCTGTAAAAACTTGCTTCTGTGGTCACAGTGGTGCCTATGCTAACCTTCCTATGGTGTATAAATATACCTACTTGGATGAATCTTATTAGTAGCCAGCTGGCCCAGTGGCTTATGCACTGGCCTGGAGTTTCACGACTCACTCGCCATGAGTTCTAACCCCACCAGTACCGTGCTTTGTCTCCTTATTCATCTGTACTTCAATAAATTGGGACACTGGTTTCTGGACAATAACTTGATAATGCCTTTTCCGATCGACTTCAAACTCTTGAATCAGTCGTATCTTATTTAAAGGAAGACCATTGTGCTACGTAGGGACTAATTTGCCAATATTATTTAAAAAATGGGTGGCCATTTTCATGTTCAACAACTTGAGAAATATTATTGGGAACGACTTAGAGTACAATGATGATGAATCTAGACACAACGTAAAGTTATCTTAGTATTAATCTGCATAGCTGCCAATTTATTAATTTTATTGATCAACATGGTGTACTGATCAACATGATATATTGTCAGATGGTGCTTGATCAAATGTGTATGATAACATGGGTTTTGATAAAATTGGGATTTGTCAACATGGTGTTTTGAGCAAATGGTGGTACTGATCAACAGATGTTTTGATAAAAATGGGTATTGTCAACATGGTGTACTGTCAACATGGTGTATTGATCAAATGGTGTATTGTCAACTGGTGTATTGATCAACTTGGTGTATTGTTCAACATGGTAAAAGAAAAACATGGTTTGTTTGTAAACATGTGTTTGTTTAAACATGGTGTATTGATCAACTGGTTACTGTAAAAATGGTGTATTGATCAACATGGTGTATTAATCAACATGTGTTTTGTAATTGGTATTGATAAATTTGGTGTTTTGGGAACTGGCATACTGATCACTTGGTGTATTGTCAAAGGGGTGTATTGATCAAATGGTATACTGATAACATGGTGTTTTGTTTTCATGGTTTACTGTCAAATGGTGTATTGATCAACATGGTGTATTGATCAACATGGATACTGATCAACATGGTTGTACGAAAAAACTGGTGTATTGTCAACATGGTTTTGATCAGCAGGGATATTGACAACTTGGGATTTTGATAAAAAAGGGCTTTTGTCAACATGTTTATTGACAACATGGTGATTGATCAGCATGGGGTATTGTCACATGGGGTTTTGTTAAAACAGGTTTTATTGATCAACGATGTATTGTCAGCTGGGATATTGTAAACATGGGATATTGTAAAAAAGGGGGTATTGTCAACATGGTTTTTTGATCAACTGGTGTTTGATCAGATGGGGTATTGATCAAATGGTTTTTTGATAACATGGTATTTTGATAAAATGGTGTATTATAAAACAGGGTGTATTGATAAACATGGTATATTGATCAACTGGTGTAAATGATCAATGGTAATTTGATCAACTGGTGTATTGATAAAACTGGTATATTGATCAACATGGTATATTGTAAACATGGTGTATTGATCAAATGGGTATTGATCAACTGGTGTATTGTCAACGGGTTTTTGATCAAAGGGTGATTGATCAACTGGGTATTGATCAACATGGTATATTGATCAACATGGTATATTGATCAACATGGTATATTGATCAACATGGTATATTGATCAACATGGTGTATTGATCAACATGGTGTATTGATCAACATGGTGTATTGATCAACATGATGTATTGATCAGCATGGAAGACAGTGCTCGTGAGGTTACTAGTGTTGTCCTGGAAGACAGTGCTCGTGAGGTTACTAGTGTTGTCCTGGAAGACAGTGCTCGTGAGGTTACTAGTGTTGTCCTGGAAGACAGTGCTCGTGAGGTTACTAGTGTTGTCCTGGAAGACGGTGCTCGTGAGGTTACTAGTGTTGTCCTGGAAGACAGTGCTCGTGAGGTTACTAGTGTTGTCCTGGAAGACAGTGCTCGTGAGGTTACTAGTGTTGTCCTGGAAGACAGTGCTCGTGAGGTTTATAGTGTTGTCCTGGAGCCCAGTGCTCGTGAGGTTACTAGTGTTGTCCTGGAAGACGGTGCTCGTGAGGTTACTAGTGTTGTTCTGGAAGACAGTGCTCGTGAGGTTACTAGTGTTGTCCTGGAAGACGGTGCTCGTGAGGTTACTAGTGTTGTCCTGGAAGACAGTGCTCGTGAGGTTTCTAGTGTTGTCCTGGAAGACAGTGCTCGTGAGGTTACTAGTGTTGTCCTGGAAGACAGTGCTCGTGAGGTTTCACTAGTGTTGCTCTGGGGGACAGTGAAGACAATATTATTCAGTCCACAGAGGTTCAAAATAGAGATGCTGCTGGAGATGGACCAAAAGGGGATGATGCCTCAGGGAATAGTGTCGACACACTACCAGCAAAACTTGGTGGTAGCTCTGATGTCCATACAGGGGTGAACAATAAGGAGGAAACAGGAAAATAAATGCTCCACCAGCAAACGCAGCTACAATAAATCCTAGCAAGCAGAATTACAATATATGTAAAAACTATGCCTTGGGTATCTGCAGGCACGGTATATCTAGTAAAACAGGTGGGACATGCACCTTTGACCATCCCAAAAAATGCCGCACCCACATGACAACAGGAGAGTGCAACATCCCTTCTTGCAACTTATTTCGCCCAGAAATGTGTCACTTATCAATCCATGAAAGAAAATACTACAATGCATACTGCCAGGCACATTATCTAAAGGGGACTAGAAGACACAGACCAGCCAGACTATGGAAAACAAAAAAGGGGAGCCACAACCTCTCCAGGGACAGAGGTTTTTTAGGGACAGGAGGGAAAAAAAACTGGCAAGAAATGACAATAATCCTACACCAACTGAAAATACTTCTGGAGCAGAGGCACGGACACTGGCCTCCACTCCAGAACAACAGATATTAGAGCCAGCAAACAAAACCCCCCTAAATTCCACCAATATAACGACATTTGTCTTTGCAAACATACAGGGTCTAAAGGGGCGGGAGTTGGAGTCAAATGCAATGTTTGCAGCATTCCCAGAGACCCACATAAAGGATCATTATGACAACGAAATATGGATCCCAGGTTATAACCTATTCCGATGCGACAGATTAAACAGACAACAAGGAAGGGTTGGTTTGTACGTCACAGAGTCACTCATTTGCACATAACTATTAAACACCTCAAGATTTTAGACTCTATAACCCCACTCGGTAAATCATCAGATGCAGCATTCTCCACCTGACCCAGCATTCTGAACCTGACTATAAATACTCGCGTACCTTCCACCCCAGGTAGATCTGTTTGTGACTTAAAAAAGCCCACTGTGTGGGCGAAACGTTGTCAATAAAAGATCACATTATACTGCATATGTGTTTATATTTTCATTGTGTCGGTATTTTATACCATTTATTTCCATGATGTAGTTAAAGTTTTGGCGGTAAAGATCGAAAACCAAAACCTTGTCATTGTGGTAGTATACAAACCCCCAGATGCAACTTCCCAGCAATTCCAGGAGCCGCTTGTGAAAATTGACCACTGTCTGGAAAATCTCCCAACTCCTGCCCCAAACATCTTAATACTAGGAGATTTCAGCTTGAGACACCTAAAATGGAGGAGTATAGCAAACACTGTTTTAGCAGAGATCACCCCGGGAGGCAGCGCAGATGAAAATTTACGCAAACACGAACTATTAAATCTCTCCACCAAATTCACCTTAAACCAGCACATAGTAGACCCTACAAGACTAGAAAATACGCTGGACCTCATCTTCACTAACAACGATGATCTGATATGTAATATAACTGTATTAAAGACAATTCACTGAGATCACAACCATTTATCGTAGGGGTTCTTAAAAGGAGATATCGAGGGTTTGAAGGTAGACACACTTGTTGGATGGTAACGATATACTGTCAGACTGTGATGATGGGAGATGGAGCCCAGCCACTGCCTTGTCCTAGCCTGTGTCAAACGCTGACTGAGGAGGAGGCAGAGGTACGAACGTACACATGCGCATCCCGTGACGTCACACAAACAGTCACAGGCCTAGGGATCTTCTATCTAAAGCACATGGATGATACTGATATGCTATACAACACAGGGATCAGCAACTATGCTGACACAGACATGTATGCACAGAGCTCCTGACCAGCAAAATGTAAGCAGTCATGAAGGTCTCTTCATGAAATTCAAATTCAATAAAAAAAAACATACAATGGGATCAAGTAAACCATGTCCTAAATGAAACAAGTTGGGAAGACATCCTTAACAACACAGATCGGAGCATTTACCTTAAAAAATTGAATTCTGTGGTTCTTGAGATCTGCTCAAGACACATTCCATTAAGAAAAAGAGAAGATATAAACTAGAAAGAGAGAGACGTTCCCTATACAGACGAAGGCGAAGAGTCACAGAGCTGCTGAGTGGGGTCAATATATCGGAAGTGCGAAGGGAAGCACTAGTCAATGAAATTGCAAATATCGAACTAAAGCTGAAGGAATCTTACAGGAGACAAGA